GCAATCTACTTCCGTAGTGTTACTGCCTCAGAAACCCAAAGAGGGGTCGCTATGAGTCAGGTCCGACTCGATGGCACATAACAACAACAACAATCCTGAAAATAAGGAGCTCTGGTGGTGCAGTGGTTAAAGTGTTTGGTGGCTAACCACAAGGTTGGCGGTTCGAATCTACCAGCGGTTCTGCAGGAGAAAGATAAGGCAGTCTACTCCTCTAAAGATTTACAGCCTCAGTAACCAATATAGCAGTTCTACTCTGTCCTCTGGGGTCACTATGAGTCAGAGGTGACTCATTGGCAGTGGTTTGGTTTTTTGGATTCTGAAAATAACTGATTGAATTCATTCACACTTGATCCTCCCAGGTAGATTATAATACCAAGAGTTATTGACTAGAAGTACTTTTTATTTAATATATTGCCTGATTGCCACTAATGGTACTTTTTGGTTTTATGTCAAAATTTGTTTCTGTAATACATTTACGGTATATTTTCATGAAATCAAGGGAAACATTTTTGTATAAATGCCAAGCTTGATGGAAATGGGCTTAACTCCTAATGCAAGTTCCAGATTCTCCTAGAACTGCATCCTCTGAGATTTGACCTTTTCTGCTCTTATCTTTGGCACAGGACCAGACAGTGTTTCGTTCTGTTGTACATAAGGTCACTATGAGTCGGAGATGACTGGATGGCACATAACAACAACAACTCTTATCTTGGATCTGACTTTTTTTTTTCCTGTTGCTCTTGCTATTCTGCAGATGTCATATTGTTTCCTGCACACTACGTTCCTTTAGCTAGTCATTCCATTGCTCTGGGTTTCTCAGAAAAACTCTTCCCATCTGAAGACTGGCTTTTTCAGGTGCCAGATAGTTTCTCCTTGTGAGAAACAGGCTCCTCTCTTAATTCACCAAGCACAGTGAATATCAGGCTAGAACAATGAACAAATCTTTAACAATGGAATTACAATGTTGAGAAAATCTAAATTTTTATTCTTTTAGCTATCTCTCTCCTATGAAAGCCCCCTGGACTTCTGATAACTTACAATTATTGACCACTTGACTATATTTCTCAGCTGTTGGTCCAGGCCCTTCACAAGGCTACCAACTCAAGCAGGTGAGGTTAGGGTAGAGAGAGATTTTTTCTCTCACCCAAAGCTTTTCCTCGTTTTTCACAGGGGAAATGTCTACTCACAGGATATATTCTTAGACATGACTCTGGTTTTCCTCTCATCTCTCTGCCTCCTTTTCAGGCTCATCATTCCCTACTGGACTCCTAATAGGGGAATTCTTCAAAGCTTGCCTTGAGGACCAGCTCTCTTTTTTCTTCATATTCTTCTTAGGCAATTTTATCCAAGGCTCTCATATGACTTACCATAAGTCACTCCTGAATGTATATCTCTAGTCTAAATCTCTCCTTTGAGCAACTGATCCTTATTTCAGATTCACTGTTTTACTCCTAGGAGCTCTGGTGGCATAGTGCCTAAGGCATTTAATTGCTAACCGGAAGGCTGGTGCTTCAAACTCACCAGCCACTCTTTGGAAGGAAGATTGGGCAATCTGCTTGCGTAGTGATACTGTCTGGGAAACCCAAGGAGGGGTTGCTATGAGTCGGGTCCTACTTGACAGCAGTGGGTTTTATTTTACTCCTGCACTTGTATGCTTCAAAAGGACTTTTTAGCTCACCATGTCTAAGACCTAACACATGGTTTCCTCTCCTCCAAATGTGGTATTCTTTTAGTTCTTCATTGAATTTCAAATTCAGTGAAGGCACAACCACCCATTAAGTTGTCCAACTAGAAATCTGGAGATCACCCTTATTTCCACCTTCTCCATGCCCCTCCCTGCCTCAACACATGCAGTCTCTTAGCTTTCTCTAGTTTAACCACAGAGTGGTGTCTCCTGAGAGTTCCACTTCACCTTTATTGCCTCCACTCTGTTCTAACCAGCTGTAGCCTGGAAAACTGCTGCAGGCTTCTAACTTGTCTCTGAATTTGCTTTAGGCTCTCCAATCCATTCTCCACATAGCAGACAGAGGTCTTTTTCTCAAAATGAAAATCTTACTAGGCCACTTAAAATCTTACCTAAGCTTCCCAGGCCCCACAATTGACAAGGTTTTGTAATAGCCTTTCCTGACTCTCTAGCTGCTTCTCAGACCTTGCTCCACCTTGCTTTCTGCACTCCAGCCCTGCTGTCCCCTCTGTTCCTCAGGCACATTCACCACAGAGATTCCCTCTTCCTCTCTCCTATTTATTTCTTGCTCAGCATTCCTACCTCAGTTTAACTGTCTCTTCTTCAGAGGAGCCTCTTCCTGACTCTCTGATCCATTATTATAAAATTTTACACATAGGAATCCCTTCCCTCTGAACATTTGCCTCAGTTTTCAATTTTGCATTCATTGGAGTGGTTATTTGGTCAATGCTATCTCCTCAGAAGAGCCTAAGTTCCCCAAGATAATAATTTAAGACAGATTACAAAAAAACATATAAAATATGGCAAGGTAACATAAATTATAAATAAATTTAAAAGTTCAAAGACAAAATTAGGATAGACCTAAAACCAAACTCACTGCCATCGAGTTGACTCCGACTCATAGCAACCCCTCTTTGGGTTTCTGAGGCGACATATCTATGGAAGTAGATTGCTCAATCTTCCTTCTGAGCAGTGGCTAGTGGGTTTGAGCTGCCAGCCTTTTGGTCAGCAGTCAAATGCCTTAGGGACTACACACCACCAGAGCTCCCAAAATTAGGATAGAGACAGAAAATGAGTACAGAAATAAGACCAATTAAAACATGCCTTTTGTATAGGACCAACACACTGCTAAGCAAACACTGCTGGTAGTTCATCCAACAGTCATCCTGCTATTTCTTGTATGTTGTTGTTTGTTGTTATTTGCCGTCGAGTCGGCCCCGACTCATAGCGACCCCTCCTTGGGTTTCCGTGGCAGTATCACTACGGAAGTAGGATTGCCCAACCTTCCTTCCGAGGAGTGGCTGGTGGTTTGAACTGCCAGCCTTCTGGTTAGCAGTCAAGTGCCTTAGGCACTATGTTACCAGAGCTCCCATTTCTTGTATAGAACCCTTATTTTGTTCCAGTATCAAGTGTCCTGTGCTCAATTCTAGAAGATGAACCTTTATTGACTTATTAGGGTCATGGATCCCCTGGCTAGGCATTTCTTGTTAGAAATGAATTATTCATTCTTTAAGACATTTGTGGAGAGACCTTCTCTTACTTGCAGTTGCTTCCCTATACTTGCTATGGTTTCTAATTTGGTTCTAAGCTTGTCATCAGTCAACTCAGAAATTAACATTTAGTTAGAAATACAATTCAGTGTCTGTAAAATAAAAAGAGACCAGCACCTCAGGAAAAGTACAACTATTGCTAAGACAAAGACCAAATAAGATCAGGGACTATAGGTACCCACTCATTCATCCAATGTATTCAAATCCCAAATTAAAAAATACCAATGATAAAGATACTATAATCAGTAATTCAAGCCAAATTGGCTTTCTCTTTTGACATAATTTATTATTCACCTTGAAGTTTCATTTTCTACATCCTCCTTAAATTAAAACATCCTTTATTCTTTGAGCCAAATGAAAATGCATTTAACAGATTTATTTGGACAATGAGTGCAGAAAAGTCATTCTTTGGAAACTAACCTTTGGCTTGAGATACAAAGTCCAAAGTCTATGAGTTGGCAGACCAGTGACGCAGGTAGGAAAAATGTCTAGATGGTTGCCATGTTCTGCTTTTACAAAGAATATGTGTCTACTCTGTGTGTTTCTTCAGAAAAAAAAAAGTAGGCATTTAACAGGACAGGGAAAGATTACATTCTGAAGAGAATTGTTTCCTCATTGAACATAACAAAAAATTTTATTTTTATATAATTTTATTTTATCTAGGAATCACACTTCTTTCTCAGCCTATCTATGTGTGTATTTATATCAGGTTTATGAGGAGCAGAAACATGGTACTGATAAAAAGAAAATCTCCTTCTGCCTCATCTTGATTACTTTAACCCACATGTCAACTGCCCTAGAGGTCTGCTTACCATAAATAGCCCAGGTTCAACCCCAAAGAAGCCCACTTACTATTTTAATGACAAGAACTTGTTAACGTGGACATGTGAAATGCATAATTGGAAAGGAATGTGCTCTGTACCAGGAAGTCTTTGAGAAAGCTTGAGTTCTTGCCATAACTAAAAATCTGATGATGCATTACTGATGACTTCAGCCTCAAATGAAATCTAACTGCCTGCTTCCATAATCCCTGGTGACAAAGATATCGAAAAAAGAATAACATGCAGGAGAGAGATTCATTCTCTTTTTTGAATAAAATGAAGGAACCAGCCCATGTGACTATAGAGGTATCACTGTGCAGACCCGATGCATTTTTATATATTATAAAGGTCCATATTTCTCCTATAATTATTGAGAGTGACTGCAGATGGCATAACAGAGAAAAAAATTGAAAACACTGCTATTGGTGTTTTTTGGTTGGGTTCATGAATGGGGAATGTAGACATTAAATGATCGCCTTCCAAATTAGGCTTTTGCAACATAAAATTCTGATCCTTCAGACTCATTGCCCGTCCTGGTCTCTTTAGAAAAAGGGGCCCATCCCATTCCACTTGATGGTGGCCTCTCTCCACTTGGTTCTGATGGTCATCTCCACTGGATAAAACCGTCGTTTTGGTCCTTGTTTATCTTCATGTTGGTTCTTTTCCCAGTGATGGGAGTGAGTATCTGAGGGAGAAACACCTGGCATTTAGACCCAAGTCTATGTACACCATTCCAGAAAGAAGTCAGGCCAATAAGGAAGGAGAAAATGGGGGCAGGAGGTGATTCAGCAAGCTGTGTTCCTAGAAACAGTTAAACAGAAAAGAATTCTAGTAGATGGTATATTGAAATACCCCTTGCAAAATAAGCCTGTGTGTTGGGATGTGAATGTTGATAAGTCATGTAATGCACTTATGGGCATCATGATGTGACTTATAGAGCCAGGTGTAGCTCATGGAATGTTGTCATGAAAAACAGAAAACGGAAAATCCCACCACTTCTTATCATTTGCTAAGAGTACATTTTGTAGTTTTTAGTGGAGAGCAAGGCATTCTAGTGAGGTAGTCAAGATCTGGATTCAAGGTCTAGGTTTGTCTCAAACAAGTTGTGTGACATTTGAGAAGGTACTTTATGTCTGTAAGCCTCATTCATTCAGTTAATTGGACCCTTCAGGTATCTTATCTGTAAAAATATATATTGTAGTACCTATCCATTTGACCGTTGGGAAAACGTATGTAAAGATTTCTGCATACTTCCCAGGACATAATGTGTCTGATGCACACGAGCTAATAATAATTTTAAAAATGGTGCTTTCCTAAAGAAGAAGGTTGAGGTAGAAACGATGTTTTACAGATCATATTGCTAATGTCACACTAAAGTAAATGGACTCATTTATATTTCTCATAATTAAAGTAAAAGAACTAAGAGATTCACAGATAAAATAGTCACTAAGATACAGTTCTAAATTTAGACATAATAGTGAAAGTTACTTACAACCAGCCTGTGATACTAAATGCAAATCATCAGACATAAAAGAGAATCCACAAACTGACCCAAGGATACCAAATACAAGCTCCTAGTTTCATCACTTTTCCTCCCTTGTCCAAAGAGTCCATGCTCAAAGTCATTTTAAGATTAATCTTTTTTCCCTCATGAGTTTAAAAACTGGCTGTAATTGAAAGGAAATGACTTGTTTGGTTGTCTGTTTCCCTGTTGGACTAGACAGAACTGCCTAAAGTTTTGCTGGGATTGTGCCTTCTCCAGTGAGCCCTGCTGGCTTAGTGGTTAAAGCACTCAGCTGCTACCCATAAAGGTCTGCAATTTAGACCCCTAGCTGCTCCACAGGAGAAAGATGAGACAGTTTGCTTCCATAAAGATTTACGGCCTTGGAAACCCTATGAGGCCGTTCTACTTTGTCCTATAGTGTTATGAATTAGATCAACTGGACAGCTGTAGGTTTGTGTTTGTGTTTGGCTCCTTCTCCATTGCTGTTGTCCTAGTGTCTGGCACATAGTAGGCCCTCAAAAATACTTTCTGAACTGATTTGAACAGAAATGCACCATCAGTTTGGTTAATTACATCACAGGATGATTATTTCATGTTGGGTTGCGGGGTAGAACTGGAAATTGGATACTCCATTTCATTTTTCTAATACTTTTCTAGAGCTAAAAGATGAAAGATCTTGGAAAAGGCTTTTTGAAAAGAGTTTTTCACCTTTTGTTTTTTCTTTTACCTAAAAGTTGTTTGTTCCTCTGTGGTACTTATGAATCCTGTTTCAATTTAAAGTAGATTTAGAATTCCCACATCATAGCACTTGCATTTAGGCTCATGGGATACATTCATGGACTTCATTTCAGAAACTAAGCCTAAGCATTTTCTTGCAGAGCTAGCATGAATATACACACAGCTGTTAGACATCAGCAGCCACAGCCTTGTCTCTTTGAGCACATTAAAGCACACAGCACTCGGAATCTGAAATGCTCACCTATTGTCAGATGCACAGGCTTTTTCTGTGAAGGCTGGCCGCTGTAAAAGTACAGATCAAAGAGCTGTTCCATTTTCCAGTCTGATAAGAGCTGCCTATTTGTGCTAAAAAGAATGCTGTAATTTCCATTAATGTTGCACAGCCAAATAGGTAATTTGGGGGTCTTCAGCATGCTGCCCACCTGGAATTGGAGAGGAGAACACAGACAAATATATAAATACATTGTGACAGATGCTGATATATCATGAGCAAAAGCAGCTTAGAGGCTTCTCATTGCATTTGTAGTTGTGCAGGGCCCTGTATGTGGAGTCAGATTTGAAAGTAAGGCTTTTTCATGAATGAATTTACATTTATGAATGGTGTAGTGTGGTGGTGATATGATTTGGATGAAAGTCCAGAGAGCAAATTGGTTTTCCATTCAACAATTCACACACATTTTGTCTTGTGACATTGATTGTAATCACCACAATGTAACAGAAGTCTTCCCACTCCTTCCCCGTGTTTACTGTTTTCCTTCCCGCCTGCTGTGTTTTATCAAAAGGGCAAACACTGCCCTTTTGATCTCATATGGCTGGTTTTTCTAAGGAGTGCATATCTTCCTGGGGTTATTGTTCACCTTATGTGTTGTTGTTAGATGCCATCAAGTCAGCTCCAACTCCTAGCGACCCTGTGTACAACAGAACGAAACACTGCCCAGTTCTGTGTCATCCTCACAATCCTTGCTATACCTGAGCCCACCGTTGCAGCTACTGTGTCAATCCATTCATTGAGGGCCTTTCCTTGTTCACTGACCCTCCACTTTACCAAGCATGATATCCTTCTCCATGGTCCCTTCTGACAACAGGACCGAAGTGGGTGAGATGGAGTCTGCCCATTCTCTCCTCCAAGGAGCATTCTGGCTGCACTTCTTCCATTCATCTATGTTATGAGATGTTTTGCTGATTCATTGTTATTCTTTAACACGGCATGGTATTCCTTGGTGTGTATGTATCCTAATTTGTTTATTCATTTATCCACTGATGGGCACTTAGGTTGTTTCCATCATTTTGCCTTGTGACTAATGCTGCTGTGAACATGGGTGTGCCCATATCTATTTGTGTCACGGCTTCTATTTCTCTAGGATATATACCTGTTGTTGTTGTTATGTGCTGTCGAGTAGGCCCCGACTCATAGCGACCCCTCCTTGGGTTTCCGAGGCAGTATCACTATGGAAGTAGGATTGCCCAACCTTCCTTCCGAGGATTACTGACTAGA